GTGAGTACGATTAATAATTTTTCATACCCAGTTTTCCATCGCTGAAATGACTGAGTAACTCAAGAGAAATAGTTCTTTTTGGGTAAGCCCATAATCCGATCTTTATGTATGTACTCTGTACTTGCATATCATTCGAATAATACGTAGCGAAAGAGTCGCCATTGCAGTGAAATAAATTTAGAGCGCCTTTGTATTCTATCCATTGAGTAACTCTGGAGATGTAAGGCTCTCATGGGAAAGTCCACTTCCTCGTTTTTCGATCTTTAAGCTTGCATTATGTATTTATGTCACGTTATGAAAGAATCTTTCTAAAATGTACCTTAGTAGCTTTATACCCCTAACTCTATCTCCACAGCTATGATTTAAAACCATCATTCAATTTGAGGACATGATGATCCAAAAAAAATATCAGACCTATGTATATCATGACTGTCTGTACATGATACCATAAGATATTCGTGGAGATTCACTACATGGTTTTCTAGTGGCTTTTCTGCATTAGCAATCAACTTAACTTTGTTTTGGCAGGATTCAGCGAACGATTCAAAGATCACGCTAGATACAAATTCAGTTTCCGTTTTCCACTTGTAACCTAGCGTTTAATGGTCGAGGTACTCTTCACTGAAATCTTTGCATACTCGCGGTTTTGACAGTACACAAACTTCCAGTGGCCGTAATGTGCATCGGTAAATAAAGTGACCTCGTTTCCATTTCAAAGTGCGAAGTCTCGTGTAAGAAGACAAGCCGTTCACTTTATGAAATTGCACGCCAATGGAGGGTTTTTTTTTCCTTTGACAAATTTAAATTTACCTGACTTCACCGAAATTGCGTGATAGTGTAGTTAATCACTACTCTTACTTTTGCGCTGGAAGTCTCGTAGCCCGCGGTTGAAGAAGTACGGTCACCTTTCTTGCATTACGTAATAGAATCAAACATCTTTCGTGCCAATTCCTTTAACGATACCCGTTTTCTGGTCAGCTATAATAACTGACTTATTTTCCTAATCGCTATGATCACATAAAGTGTATAATGCAATCAGTCTTTTGTGGATCACTACATGTGGATCACTACATGAAAGCTTACTTTTCAGAGGGAAGTAACCTTCAGGTTTATCCAGCTCTATATTGGTTCGATTACGTTATGGTAAACCATGAATCTAAGAAAAATTCGTTGAAAGTTTGAAGACACTCTTCGTGCAACTCGTGTTATTTGTGACTAAGACAATATTTGACGATTATTCGCCAATGACGAGGTGAATATTGTTCAATAATCCGCGCGACGAAGTCGTGGGAATTATTCAACAATATTTACTGAGCCTGAGGTGACTAACTTTTTTCTTATAATTGCTTAATTTTTTTTGTAAATTCGTTTTATTTTGGAGACCATTCTGTTACTATTGTTCAGGTTATTCGTGTCGAGATTAGCAGCCAGTCTCCCCTAAAATTTAGCAGGTTTTTCTTCATTCAATCAGCAAAACTTCAGATCTTTCTTTTGAGAATTGTTACGCCAAACTTAATAACATCTTTTGCATTCTTCGAAATTGCATTTCCTTCTATCGAGTATGTCACTTCCTCGGTAACACTGACAAAACGCGATGCAACCATTTTGAAATTTATCGCTGCTGCTGTAATCACCTCGCGCGAGGTGATTGTAGCGAGCTATGACGCAATTCTCAACTAATCTTAGCATGCACATTTCTATAATCACTAGAGCAATTTCATCGAAAATTTAAAAATGTACCCCATGTCTGAAATGCCATGTTCAGAATAAGCTAACAAGATTAAGGAAGTTGCTTGGTTGTTTCTGTTATTCATTTGTTTCTCACTCCTGTTGCTGACTAGTTGATGAGGTTGGGCTACCAGTGTAAGGAAGTGGGATTTTAACTGGCCAGTAGATTTAGGGGAAATTTGAAAGTGATGAAAGTGTTTTATCTTTAGTCTGGAATCTATCATTGTGAAAAGCCATACGCGTAATGGATATAACTCGATCTTTCTCATCCATTAGTTTAAGGATACAATGTTTTATTACACAAATTTGATGCATAAGCTGTGCACAAAACTTAAATTTGACTAAAAAGTACACACCTATAGCCAATACCAATCCTTGCGCATTGTAAATTGTTAATAGGGTCAGGGGAAAAATTAATGTGCAATACATCTACACAATTCATGTAATTATTAAAAGTTTTCAAAGACCTGTTGATTACAGATATTAGGAGATCTAAGAATATTCAAAAGAAATTTGGTAGAAAATTTAGAATTCAGTTTGGGCCAATTCAACAAGATTCTTAGAAAAAGATAAGTGTGCCAATGAAAAAGGCTTAGCAAAATTCTGCAGCATAACAGCTTTTTACAACACCAAGTGTATCTAATCAAAAATAGCAAAATAATTATATATAGTCACAATCTTGGCTTCAATGTTGAAACACACGTACACATGCAGATTTCCCATAAACTTGTAGTTTAAGCCTACTGTGACTTCAAAAACTTTGATACACACCTCAAAAGGTGTTCTATTTATTCAGTTTAGGTTTGTCAGGTAACACTACGTCAAACTTTCTTGTGACCACACAGTCAATAAATTTTTACAACCCATCCATAAATGTCAGCCTAACTGAAACAAGAAACTTCACATACACATCACACCAGGTTTACAACCATGAAGGAAAAAATTGCTGGCATTAAAAGAAAAATAATGAGCCAGAATCAGTGGCAAACTTCAGCTGTGGGTCTGCCATTGAATCTTCATCTTAAGATAGTGCTTTAAAATAACAATTTACCTGCATGCAAAAGAACTAACCGCTGACAATTTCCCCAAGGACTGCTTTGCAAGTTGTAAAAACATCATGATTATTTCAACCAAGAGAATGTATGTCAATAATTTCTGATGATTTACATTTTGACTCTGAGTTTTCTTTGTGTCTGACTTCTGTTTTCAAATGAATGGTACAGTATGAATATTGTGCAATACTTTGCAGACATTAAACAACCAAATAATAAAAAATGTGTGTCATAGTATTGTAAATCAGTGCCTATAAGGTTCTGCCATCTTTCTTCCTTTGCACGGTATTTTAAAATCCTATTATCCCGAGTGCACTATTGACTTTGCTCTCCTTATATCTCTTTTACCTGAGTTATTTGTTGGTTGAACTTTCACTTTGATCAACACTCTTTTTAGATATAACCTTTCCCCTTTAGTACAGAAATCATTCAGCTTTTGAAAACAAATAAGCAAGGGAATTTTCATCTGATTTACAACCACCTCTGTTGTTTAAAACTTGCATGGGATGCATTTATTTGGATCCAGTCTCCCCAGGCATAAAACCCTTTTGATTCTCATTAAAATGCTGACAGGGTGAATTTGCTCAACAATCAAGAGCTTCTCTACATGTAGTTGATGATCACTTCCTTTATTCAAGCAAACTTAATCCGTGATTTGGTAGTGTAATTGTAAATCAAATCAAAAGAGCAGGGACACCAACAATATCAGTAATAATTAAAGGGGGATACCTGCATTTCCAGACTCCCACTCTTGAAAACTCACTCATCTTATATCAAAGTTTCCTTTGTGGAATGGGTATCAGCATTTGAAAGAACACAGTGCACTGATGAAAGCCTAAGTGTTACAAGCCATCAAGGCAAATAAAAATTACATGTCACAATGTGTAAACTAAAGCAAAATTATATAATCACAAAAACAAAAAAAGAAGTCAGACTCATGTGCTACAAATTTTGAAGGCTTAGGGTAAAAAGAAATAAATATGGTATAATAATTGTAATAATAATAATAACGAAGGTATTAATTATTGCAATTAGAAGCATTAATTGCAAAATTATATGCATTGTAAACGATAAACATGATAAAAAATTGTCACATTTATATTTAACTGGGCCTCATATATGCATATCTTTTATTAACATTTTACCAGATCTTCTGTTAATAATAGCTAATAAAAAGGAATTCCAAGGAATTCCAACTCAGAGAACCAATGACTTTCCCTGAAAAGCTGTAAATCTAAAAAATTCCTAGGAATTTCTGGGAATTTTTGGGAATTTTTAGGAATGTTTAAGAATTACTGGGAATTTTAAGCAAAAATTTGAGGCTAATGATACAAAATAAATACTTTAAATTAAAAAAACCCAGCTAAAATTCAAGTATTCAATGAAATTTATTTACAAGCTTAATTAAGGCTTACATGTAAAATATTTTTGATTAATTATTAACATCAACGAGTGGTAATATTAGGATGGAATTTGATTTATTTTTCTTTTCTTGAAAACTTCATATGGATTAATCCTCAATTACAGCTATTTATATAAAATGGTTCTGATCAATCATTAAATTTGGTTTGACACAAATTGTGAATAAAATCTGTTGATTCTTTTCCATAAAATACAATATCTTAAGTTATATTTGAAAACCAAGCACTCTTGGGAGTGAAGGGGCTAATTACAGACAAATAAAATTGATTTTTTGATTAAAATCTTGTTGTAACTGTAACAATAAATTAGAATGAAGTTATCCTAAACTGCAAACTTAGCTGCTGTTTGTACTGTTTGTATTTTTTTTCCTGGGCTCACAATGAGTTGGCCTTGAATGAGGTATTAGGTGAGGTAGTATTCAATTTTTGTTTTGAATTTTCTAAAGTCGCATGAAATCTGGAGAGTACATCTCACTACACGATCTTCTGCAAGATTAGAGATATATTTCTAATTTGCATTAACGTTTTGTAAAATGGGAATCATTAGTTCACGTCTCGTACATAATGAATCACTTTAAGAAAAAAAAACCATTTTAATCTTTTTCTCGATCGTATTTGATAATTGATCAGTTTCTATTCTCAGTGATTTTGTTAAATATTTTTGATCACAGTTTTCATTTTTCCTAATCACAAATTGGCAGAAACAGTGTTTTCTAGAGGGTCTTAATAAGGTTAACCATGAGCCGTAAAACGGCCACAAAATTAGCTGTTAGACGTGAAAATTGACAAATTTTAACAG